AGTTGGGCATATATGCCTACGGTTGCAATTGCAATCTGATCATTCACTTCTACCATGGACGATTGTGTAGAGTGGTTTCTACGTAGTTCATAGTTGCTAACTGGGCTTACTCTTGTTGAGCATGTTGAAAGTTTGTACCCTGACTGACTCTCAAATGGTCAACTCTGGCAATGATTTAGCAGTTTTGTCAGAGTGAAATTTTTGCTATTTGTCATTTCATTTTGATTTAATCACTTTCGCCTGTGGCTACTTCAGCCTCAGTAGAATTTTTTTGCTGTCAGAAGAATAGTTTGTCTGTGGTGAGACATTAGCCTTTACATTGGACTACTTTCCATGCCTTTAATAGATATTTTCTCTACTCAAGTATTGTATTATGTACATCTGTACTGGTATTGCTAGTATTTTTTATGATTCATTTGGTAGTTTTCATTGCTGTCTCAGCTTTTCCATGTGACTGATGATAGTGTGGAGGTAATGTGTTGTGTTGACTTTTCCAATCTGTTATGAAGTAACTGAATTCTTCAGTTATAAACTGAGGGTCATTGTTGCTGTTCACAATGTAAGGAATGAAGTGCATAGTTATCAGACATTCTGCAAACTCAGTGGTGTTTGTTGAAATCGGCTGGGCTATCCCGTGGTATTCACAGTAGTAGTCTATGGTTGTATTTTAATCAGTTCCAGCTAGAGTGAAGAGGTCTACTCCAAGCTTCACCTATGATCTGTTTGGGGCATCATGTGTCATTAATGACTCTCTTAGCTTTCTTAGCTTGGCACTCATCACACGCACAGCATTGAATGATGTGGTCCTTTATTTTCTTGCTCATGTTTGACCAGTATAGCATTTCTTTTGCCTTCATCAGACCCAACTCAATTCCTTGGTGGCTTACATAGATGCACTTCAGTATCTCACCTCTCAATTTCTTATGGATATTACTCTATTTCCTTCGTATAATATGCCATCTTGGATTGTTATTTCATCTCTGTATGCACAATAAACTCTTGTAAACACGCAAGTGTCAGGTCATCCTTTCTCCAGGAAGACATCCTACCCAGTAAACATATCATTGTACTCCTCTGTGCAATGGTCAATATTTTAATGAGCTGTGACACTTTGCACAGTTGTTTTTGGACATTAAGGATTACCAGTCCAAGCTTTAGACAGGCCATGGCTGAAATGAATGGCTTTTGCTTGCCATTTATGATCTGGAACTAGCTCTGACAAATTGTGCCTGTCAGCAGAGTTATGGTGCCATCGTATAGCCTCAATATTACTTTTGAGGGCTTAATTTCTGGATTGCTGTGTTTTGCCACTTCATGCAGGTCTGTGAAAGTCATGATGTTGCATGGCATTGTGGTGTCAATATAATATCTTGTAATGATGTTCTCCTTTTGTAGTCTGTATTACAACAGTCTCAAACGATGTCTCACCCAGCAAACTGAGTGACCAACAGTTGTACGGTGTAGGGTGATTTTTCAGAATACTTTCGCTGATATCTCTCCATTGGCCATCTGTACCTGCTGGTTATGCTTCCTTCCAGACAAATATTTGTGTGAAAAATAATTCAGTTATTGTGAAGAGAACACTGCTTTATCCATGCTGGACATGTCTTCTTTTTCTTTGTCGTCCTTTGTTGATGATCTTCCTGCTTCCTCGTCCTGGAATAGAGTTATAAAAATCTACAACACAGAAAAAGACCCTTTGGCCCATTGCATCCAAAACAATCAAAACTAACTGCTTTAATCGCATTTTCCAGCACTTGGTCTTGTATGCCTTGGAATCACAAGTGCGTATCAAAATATCTTTTAACTTTTATGTGGGTTTCTACTGCTTCTACTGAATGTCTATCAGCATAATGTAAGGCCTAAGCTGTTCTGAAATGAATATGCCCTAGCTGCTGATTTACAACTTCAGTGCCCCTACACATGGAGAATGAGTAAATTTCTTCTCTCATAGTATATATGTTCTCGCTCCAGGAATTCACATGCCAAAGACAATTTTGTCTTTAGTTAGAGCATATTTTACTTGCAGTTCAGAACGAAAATAAACACCTTTGTGACGGAAATAACTCCACAGAGGCCAGTATTCCTTCACCAAGTCACCCTTTATTTATATGTGTATAGTATTTGACACTGGTCTGGCTTCCTCAGAGCCAGCTGTCAGAGTGAACAGAACCTCTGACACTCCTGTTTATATCTGTCAGCCAAGGCTCCCTGATTGGACCAGATTAACAGCCCCCAATCAGGGAACTCATATTCTATGAGGTCCACCTGGCTGACCTCTTTACAATCGTTACAGTGACATTGACAGAAATTTAAAATAATTTTCCCCTCAAACCTTAAATGACAGCTTCAGAGGGAGACACAGGAATCTTGTCATGGTGGGGCACACTGAGCAGACCGTGGGATGAACATGTTGCTGTGCAACTCTGTGTTATGTCAGTGGCACATCTGCAACATGTGTTACATGTTTACATGGTAAACACACTGTGTACGCTTCAAGCAAATGTCCGTATGTGAAAGTAAAGAGGAGCATGTATTAGTCGGGTGAAGAGGGATTAAGGTCAATCAGGGAGTATCACCACAGTCAGTCAAGGGCTTCTTTGATTCCAATCTGGGTGTTTAGCTATAGTCAGTTAGTCATCTTATTGGAGTTTGGAGATCCATTTCTTTTCAGTCCGGGCACTGGGCCACAGTCTAGTGCAACCAGTCTGAGATTTCAGTCAGTCAGGGTGCTTTGGAGATATTAGTCTGGGAATTGGGCCATCTTTTGCTGCAATGAGACTAGCGGAGGATTGAATATGATGGGAGTGGATTGAAGAGCAGTTTGTATGATGCATTAGTGAAATGCTTGGTGAGGTGCCCCGACTGAGTGAATAGGAAGCACAAAGGGCAAGAAGGGTTAGCTACTTGGAAGGATATGGTGGGTGAAAGCCATTGATTGGACATGCTGCATGCAATATTGAGAATTGTAGTCCATGAACCTTGGTGAGATATGTGTACAATAGCACATTTACAGTGAGCTGTTGGCCTTCTTGCACTGCTTTGTGTCCTGCTTCACTCAGGACACAGCACTGATCTGGCCTGCAGTTTGTGTCCAGGATGACTTGGTCTGATGGTGTGACCTCCCGTAATAGTCAGCTTGGAAAAGGACTACCCTCTTCTTCTCCACCCCATCCACCGACACTTCCAGATCCCATGAAGTGGGGAGTGATCTTTCCTTTCAACAAGGCCATGTCCTGAATGTAATGGCTTGAGCACCACAGTGTGAGGACTTATTCCTGGCTTGCAGCATGGAGTTTGAAGTGGCAGCAACTGGCCTTTAAAAATGGCAGCTGTGCAGTGAATGCTGGAACGTTGCTGTCCTAGCAGCAGTGAGCACTTTTGCCTCACCAGCCACATGATTCCCTGCAAAAGGTGCCCAAGAGTCCGGTTGCATAATTAATGAGGTAGAGAAGTTTGAGAGAATTTGCTGCAAGCCATCATGGACGAGACATCCTGAATTTCACTTTGATGAAACATTTGAACTGAAGCTGGTAAAATTGTGCCTGTACTGTTCATGGGTTGTATTAGGTTCAAAACATTCCCCCAATAGACACATAAAGTTATACAGCACAGAAACAGACCCTTTGGTTCAACCAGTCCATGCTGAACGTAATCCCAAACTAAACTAGTCCCACCTGCTTGTTCCATACTTTCAAAATATCTCCATTCTATTTTATTTCTATTCTTTGGAGAGACTTGAGGAATACACTTCGTAATAGAAACAGAAGTACCTGGAGACACTTAGCAGGTCTGGCAACATCCGTGGAGAGATAGCAAGGACAACTTTTTGGATCCAGTGACCTTTCTTCAGAACTTTATCAGGGATGTATAACTGGAAATTGTGAATTGGCTGTTTTTCACTATTCAAAATGTTCCCTTCTATTGATCTAACATAAAGAAAAATTGATTATGATGAGCTGCCACTACCACACAATTTGTGCCCTCACTGAAGTTAAAGGTTTTGTCCAATTACTTTGTTATATCTGAGATAATGTCCTAGATTTTGCTTAAAACAATCAGGGCTGGTTGATAGATATAAGAGAAAAACTAGGAGGAAGATGTGTGAGCCACAGGCAGTTATTATCAACAATGCAATAGTCAATGCAGGGCAAATACTAATAAACTGTAAACAGGTTAGTTGGTGCCCATGTTCATAGGGTGAGAAAATGAACAGAAGAAAATAAATCCCCATCAGTCTTTTTTTAATCTAAAAATGTTCACTTGATTATCGAGTGAACTTGAAAATTACCTTTACAACAATAACCTAGTATAGAGGAGACTGTACAATCAACAATGGAGCATCATGCCTGATCAATTTGATCAACAACTTTGAAAAACTGACAGTTTTAGTGGACTGTGGAATGTGTCATGATATTGTGTACCTTGTCTTCCAAAGAACTCTCGTTAATGCGTCATAGGAAAAGCTATTAATTAAACTCAACACTGTGTGGATTTAAGGTAAGCCCTGGAAATTGGTAAGAAACTGTCTTAAGTGAAGGAAGCAGTAAATACAAATAAGTGCACTAATGTCAAAAAATGCAGAACAAGTTCAACAAGATGTGAAGATGAATAGAATAAAAGCAGAAGAAATTTAAAGAAGACAAGCATTACAGATAAAAAGCAAAAATGGATGACAAATCTCCCTTGCCATAATGTTGAAATAGCTGAGGGTGAGGCCAAAAGAGAATTAGGAGTCTTAGGTATGACTCCAAATTTGTCTCAACAATGGACGATAATAATTAACAAAATCAATAGGATATTGACTTACAGAGTCAAAATAGTATAGCACAAGAAAGTAAAGTCGGTGTTCAAATTTAAAGCCCTAGTCAGGTCACACCATAAATATTGCATTCAGTCATGGTCACTCAAAACAGACTATTATCATTTAGTTGTTTTTTGATGTCTTCTATAGGTCAGTAGATTGGTGAGATTTTAAAACTGTACTTCTATTTTCTAAGGTCGAAGAAAAATAAACATCCAAAGTGCACAAGATCTCGAGGATTTGATCATTGAAAGATGAGTTTGTACAGTTGCTGATGGGCAAATTCCACCCCAGGTAATGAGTTATAGTCATCTTCTATATTTTAATGAGACCTTCTGTGGATGTGCAAACTGCCAAAGATTTTACTTTTACCATGGTCTCTCAATAGTTTAAAACAAAATCGAAAGTCATCAAATTTACTGGTCCTATTGTTAGTGCTATACATCAACATCTGTTGAAACAATGGAGTAAATGTTTCACAAATTTAAAAGAAATAGTAAAATGAAAATGTGAAGATCACTGTAAATTGTTTGATGATCAATGCAATATCTTAGGACAGTTAGCTACTTATACTTCAAAATTATAATTTATTTTCCTGTTTTCTGATTCAACATGGAAATTTTATGAATGTTATCATTGTTGGCTTAACTAACACTGGGGTTGGGGCAATATGAACAAAGTTTAACGTTAAGAAATGTCTCATGATTGATCATTTGACTTGATATCAAAGTAGCAAGAGTGACCAAAGTGTACATACTTGGGACATGGATGTTCAGACCCTTTATGTGCATTCATTTCAGAGCACATTATTAGATAACAAAGCATGAATAGCTGTATTTTGTAACATTGTTTTAACCAAAAAATTTCCATGTTGTTTCAGGTGAATATATCTATTTAATGTCAGTTGCTGACTTTCATCATAGTTATCTTCAATTGTTTGATGATCAGAGATTCTGTAATGTAGATTGCAGATTTCTATAATGTAGGCTAACCATAATCCATGATTCCTGGAATGCCCTAGCAGGCTAGTCTGCTTTTTAAAAAAAATACTAATTGGAAAATATTGTGGAAGGAATATTATCTTTGGACTTCGTAAGGCCAACAAATTTATCTGTATTTTAAATGCATATGATACAAGGCCCATTTTTTAGGGTATTTAATTCTTCAGAAATCTTTTCAATTTGAGGATCTTCACCTCCAGTATCACACTAGGGGCTCACAAGTCTTTGTAACAATAACAGCACTGTGATTTTACTAGAAGGTCTCGTTATTTATAAAAATGTAATAATGATGTATTTTTAGGCTACCTGTGATTTAATGACTCTAGTCATTAAACCACTGATTAGACAAATACTTTATTATCATACAAATCTGAAATGGAAGCAGTGCTCTTACTGATTCCAGGATTTTTTTTAAGGAGAATTTGACATTCAGACAGGAAACAATGCTATTTGGTAAGTGTGGAAATTTATGGAGTTTGTCACAGCATGCTACTTTGAATCGTGTCTTCCCCAGTCATTGATAGAATATAATTGTTTTGGTAATCAAGTCACCTGCCACAATTTTCTGAAATCTGAGTAGTTTGTTACTTTTGGGGCACTGGCTAGGATTCTAGATAAATTTGAGTAGCTGATGCATATCAACAGTTAAATCAGGGCCTGAGACCTTTACATTGAGAAGGAAAGCCTCAAACCATGTACAAATATCATCTGATTCTTTCTGTGACCTGGCAATTTTATCCTTTCTGGATTTAGTCATGATTTTATATGTATGAGGTAAGAAAACTGAAGGTGTTGATCATATTACCAATCACCCACCAGTTAGTTAACAAAGGTGTCACCTTTGGCTCATTACTAGCAGTGAAAACAGCAAATGCTGTAAATACTCAGCAGATCTGACAGCGTGTGTGATAGAGAAACAGAGTTAATGTTCAAGTTGTTAACCTTTTGTCAGAACTGTTCTCTCCAATTCTATCAAATGCTGTCAGATATGCTGGATATTCTCAGTGATTTTCATTTTTAGCATTCCAGCATTGATAGTGTTTTGCCTTTGTCTTTCTTTTTGATGCATCCTTGCATCTGATTCCAAAGCTTATCAATTCCAGTCCTTCTCCAGGACTGCACAAACCTTGACTGATAGTCCAACATGAAAATGGTCAAAATTGTGATATTTTGGATGAGACATTAAAAGAAGGTCACCTCTGGCCTGTTGCCCTGTATGAGGTCATAGGGCACAATTTGAAGAGCAAGGAAGTTCATTTGGAAACTTGATCAACATTTATCTCTCAACCAACATGACTGAGATGGTTTAATTCATTATTTAGCCTGTGACTCCTCACTGTAGGCAGTTTGGTTGCCATGTTCATCCCACATTACAGTATTACTACACTTTAAAAATATTTTATTGGTTGTGAAGGTAGTTACAAAAATACAGTTCCTTTCTTCTGTCATTTTGTTTGTGCTCTAACATCAGTGGAAAAAGGTATCTGGCTTGCCATCAACCATGTTAAAAAATAACCATTTCAAGAGATGTGAATCAGTTGGCAAATGCACTGTCATGTGGCACTGAATAGTTACAATTTTCTGATCCTTGGCATTTGGAAAAGGGACGCTGTATTTCACTTCATTTCTTTTAGCAGGAATGAATAACAAGAATTTATTTTCTGTATTGTGTCGTAATTTCAGATGAGGACCAATACTTCCATTGTTGAATAGCCAGTTGATAGTCAATGTCTAGCTCACACGTAGAATAAACAGTTTAGATGGATAGTGGAGAGTGGCTCATAGCTACAGAAGTATACCATAAAAAGAGTTTATTCTTTTGGAAGAATGTGAATAAACTGAAAATGAAAACCTTTTTAAGAACAAGGTACGAAGGAGAGTGAACAGCTGTGTATTGTTTTCGTAATGACAAAATCACTTGTTAACATTTTGTGCTATACTTGTGAACTGCATTTGTTTCCATTCTACGAGAATTGACTACAGCATTGTGTGATGATTGTTGAAAGGTGAGAAAGGTATCCAGGAGCTTTGACAACAGTAGAGCAGTAATCTGTAGTTAATTATCAGCAAGTCATGTGTTTATTTTGTGGAGTAGATGGCAATGGATGTGTAAGATGAATTTTAGGGCATCAATTAAATCAAGGGTTGCAATAATGTCATTAAGCACTCAAATCAAATTATAATTGGCAACAGAACCTTGCGCTTGCATTGTAAACCTATATATCATAAATAGAGTTCACTTTCTGAACTTTATTTTATCTCTCCAGCTTTTACACTTAGATAATTATGGGTCAAGAGGTTCTGTCAGTAAGGGTGGTGACTGTTAATATAATCCATGAGGCTAATATGAGTAAAATTTGCATTGTAAGAATCAATAATTATGATAATTTACTGTGAATTTATTAGGCGATAAGTTGTAGTTGAATACCATCTTGCAGTATAAAAGTGGAAAACTGCCAGGCATGTAAAATCCAGAAAAAGCAGGACGAACTCAATCCAGCCAGTTATTAGCTCATGATTCTACTTTAGCTCAACAACAAAGTAATGGAAGGTGTGATCAATAGAGGTATTAAACAGCATTTATATAGCAATAATGTCCTCACCAGTGCTTAGTTTGGGTTCAGACAAGGCCACTCAGCTTCTGACTCATGACAGTTTTGGTCTAAACATGGGAAAAAGTTTCAGAATTCAAGAGATGAGCTGAGAGTGGCTGTCCTTGATCTAGAGGTAGGATTTGATGAATGTGGCATCAAACAGCCCTCGCAACATGTCAATGGGAATCAGGGTTGAAGTCATAATTGGCACAAATGAAACTGTTTGCAGTTGTTGCAAGCTAAGCGTTTCAACCTTAGAACCACACTGTAGGAGTTTTTCAGAGCAATGTCCTTGACGCATGCTTCATCAATGATCTTTTCTACATCACGATGTCAAGGTTGGGAATGTCTTTGATAATTGCAGCATTCAGTCCCATTTCTAGCTCCTCAGATACCAAATTAGTCTGTGCCCCTATGCAGGAAGATCTGGAGAACATTCAGGCTGGGATTGATAAATGTCAAGTAATTGTCGTGTCACGCAAATGCCAGGCAATCACCAAGTCCAACAAATGAGAATTTAACTGTTCTCCATTACTTTCAAGGGAATTATCATCACTGAATTCCCCACTATCAACATCATGAGTGTTACCTTCAACCAGAAAATTAACTTGACTAAACATATAAATATTGTGCTATAGGACCAAGCCTGAAGCTGGAAATTCTGTGCTGAATAACTCAACTTCTGACTCCCCAAAGCCCCTCCACCATCCACAAGGCACAGGAATATGATGGAATACTCTCCACCTGTTTGGATCAATACATTGAAGATTCTTGACACTATTCAGAACAAGTTGCTGTTGAAACAGCTTTTTTTTTGAAAAGAGGCCTGCACAGTCTTCGTCCATACTACCCTCCTCTATCTGGCTGAGCTTGTTCTCACTTTGAACAACTTTTCCTTTAACTCATTTTCTGCAAGTCAGAAGTGTGGCAATGGGTACCTGCATGGGTCCCAGCTATACCTTGTTGCAGTCATTCTCAGGGACCCCACCCAAAATTCTTTCTCTGATACTTTGATGTTGTCTTTAGTGCTGTTTCCTGCTGTCTTCTGGAATTGGAAAAAATTTAATCAGTCTTTCTTCAAAGTCCCACCCTGTGCCCTTTACCTAGATCATCTCTAACTTTTCCCTCCCCTTTCTTTATTTCTGTGTTTCCATTTCTGGAGATAGGCTATCTACCAATGTTTCTTACAAGCCCATTGCCTCCACAGTTATGTCAATTGCACTTCCTGCAACGATTTAGTTCAATTTTCTCAGTTTCGCTATCTCTCTTGCATCTGTTCTGAGAATGCCACCTTCCAGTGGCGTGCCTTGACATGACCTCCTTTATCATCCACCGAGGATTCCACCCCACTGTGGTTGGTTGGGCTTTTAGCTGGGTGTGACCCATATCCTGCACTTTTGCCCTCACCCCTTACCAGAACAATAAGGTTCCCTTTGTACTCACTTTCCACCTACTAGTCTCCACATTGAAAGGGTCTTCCTCCACCCTTCAGCAGGGTGCCATTGCCAAACATATCCCCCCTTCCCCTCCACTGTCAGCATTCCACAGGAACCATTCCCTGCGTGATATCTTGGTCTACTCCTCAATCATCATAACCCTTTCAACTCCTGCGTGACACCTTCCCGTGCAACTGCTGAAAGTATAAAACCTACCAATTCATCTCCTTGCTGTCCAAGGCCCCAAATACATCTTCCAGGTGAAGCAGCATTTTACCTCTACTTCTTTCAACCTAGTCTATTGCATTCTGTACTCTCAATATGGGCTCTTTTACATTGACAAGACCCAAATGCAAAGTGGGTGACTGCTTGAGGAACACCTCCGCTCTGTCTATAGAAATGACCTCAATCTTCCAGTTGTTAGCCATTTCAATAACCCACCTTCCTACCATGTTACCATTTCTGTCCTGGACTGCTGCAATTTCTAATAAAGCATGCCAGATCGAGGGACAAAACCTCACTTTCTGCTTAGGCACTTTTCAGCTTCTGGAACCATATTGAATTTAATAACTTCAGAGTGTGACTGCATGATATCTGTCATTCATTTCTCTTACATTCTGTCCCCACCACCCCCCCACCCCTTGGCAGTGTCTTGTTCACTCTGAGAGGACACATTTTCACCTTAACTTACACCAACTTTACCTCTCTATTTCTCTTTCACAACTTTTAAAAGCCCCTTTGTCTTTTGCACTGAGCCTCCACACCATTTGTTCCCTTCAATCCTCTCATGTCAAAAGTATAAAAAACACCATCTTTCTACCCCTTTCCATTCTGAAGAAGAGTCCTATCAGATTCAAAGCCTCAATTTTGTTTCTGTCTCCAAAGATGCTTCCACATCCGTAAAGTTTTTCCAGTACTTTCTTTGTTTGTTTCAGATTCCAGTATCTTCTGCATCTGCTTTTATTAGATAGCTTGACTAGTACCATGCGCACTACCTTAGACATTTATTCCTCCATCACTAGGCCAACGTTGCAGCAGTGTGTACCACCCACAAGCCTCCTTAGATTGCACCTTCCAAACCCTCAAACTTTTCCACCTAAGACACAAGCACACAACACGATGAGAATGCCACAACCTATAAGTTCACATTCGAGCAACAATTGGAAGTATACTACTGTTTCTCCACTGTGGCTGGGTCAAACTCCTGGCACTCTCTTCTTAACATTCTTGTGAATGTACCTACACCAGATGGACTCCAGTAATTTTGGAAGATGGCTCATCATCTCATTCTCATTGGCAATTAAGGATCACTGATATAGGTTATGCTTTCAATGTTACATTCCATGAAATAATAAAATTAACAGTGATTGCCGTTCAAACTTAAGTATTGCAGGCATTTTATTGTTCACCAACAAAATAGAATTCTGAGGTCTGAGCAGATTATTGGTAAGACTGTGAAGGAACAGTTTATAGTATTTTTTATATAGATTTGTTTCTTGAGCTATAGAAGGGAAAAAATAGCCAAGGTTACAGGGTAACTGTCTAGAATCACAAAGTGGTATTGTAAAATAGCATGTGTTCAGTTTCAGACTTTGGTTGATGATTCCTACATTCCTCCAATGTTGTCGTCTTAACTGCATATACAGTTTCCTTGCCTGCTGTATTTTTGGCCATATATTTAGCTTTCTAGGTCCTAAGCTTTGGAATTCCTTCTTTAAGACTCTTGGCCTATCTATCTTTAAGATGTTCTTCAAAGGGCTACCTCTTTGACTGTGTTTTTGACCACCTTTCCTAATATTGCCTTATGTGGCTTGGTGTCAGACTTTGTGTGATGAAATCTCTTGTAGAGCACCTGCTGTCATTTTACTTCAATCAAAGTATTTATAAATAAATATTGTTGCCTTCACACAGCACTGAAACTATTTTTGATGTTTTTACAAATTCTAATGGCATATATTACGTTAGAACTTACCATGACTCAATTATATAAAGTGACACACAGCTCTTTCTCTGTTAAAAACATGTTTGCTGTATTTGTATAAAATAGAGAACTGTACCCCACATTGGTGAAAAGTATTCATAAAATAGGCCTAATAGCTTTCGTTTTATCAGATCCTGCTTTGTGGAGTTGCCATCAATCATGAACAGAGTTATCAATATAATATGATAGAACTTCTTAAAACAAAATTTAATTGAATTCCTATTTTATGTTAAACACCTTAACCATCTTAATAATATTTAATATCCATGTACCCTAATGGAATCAACATACTTAAATGATCTACTGTTACCATTTTTAAGGGAAATCAGCACATATCTAATGACTAGCTCTCCTTCTTTTCCGTGGCTTCATCCCACTATCACACTTTTCTGTGAAAGCAAAGTAAAGCAATCATTTAGTGATCTGCTATTCATCTCAAAAGATCTAGGTTACGAAACCGTGGTTTATTTCTTCATTCATTCTCACTATATCAAATTAGTTAAAATTATAGTAGCACTGTTTTTTGTTTACCAAGGTGTGATGGCTATTACATCTTATGGCATTTTCCCAGCTGAGAAAGCAGACACTGCGGCCTTCATTAATGATAATCTATAACTGGTTTCCAAGAGCAATCTGGAGAAATTCACCCTCCTCTTCCTGACCTATACTGCATTTTCCAACAATAGTGCCATTGAATTAGCATGTGAATTTGCAAGGATGCTTACACCCTATGGAACCAGTTTTAGGCTTCGTGTTGCATAACATTGTAAGGCAATTTCAGCTGAAAATGTTTAATGTGTGGAACCGCGGGGGTGCTTTCAGTTCAAATCTTGCAAACGCCGGTTTCATCTGTGTTCCTAAAATCTGGACCAAAAGAAGAAAACAAACTGGGAAAAATCAGTTAATATGCTAATTCAGGGCAGACGCTGAGTAATAACCAAAAGTAATGCAAGTTCTCACAATAGTCTTTAAGCTGTCTCAGTGAAACTTATTTCTAACATTCCAATATATCGGGTACAATTTTTCATTGTTTCAGGGGTGCCTTTGTATGTTTTCACTCATGCAGCCTTTTTCAGTTTATTATTATTTCATATTAGTGATTCCAACATTATCTGTGCCAGTGCTAGATACTAATTTAAGAAAGAGTCTGACACCAATCCCCAACTTGAAGGAAAGACCTGAGTTACATGAAGCAATGAGTATTTGAGGACGAGACAAGTGTTGTTCAAAGTCATTGGTATTGGAGTCCAAAGTAAGGAGATGCACCGATAAATAGAGAAAAACAAAAGCAGAAATAGCAACAGCTCACGCTTACCTTCTGTTAAACAAATTAATTAGAACAGGTTGTTAATGTTGGTAATAGGAAGGAAAGAAATATAACATTCATTTTACAATCAAATTTTAGTTGTTCAAATGAGCCAAAAAATTCTTAAATCATTTAGTGCTGTGAGAGATAAAATGGACAGGAAATTTTAAGAGTTTTAATATTCAACATTAAAAAAGTGGAAACAAAAACAGAAGTTACCGGAAAAGCTCAGCAACATCTGTGAAGAGAAATCAGAGTTAATGTTTTGGGTCTGGTGACCCTTCCTTAAAACGAAACCGGGACCTGAAACATTAACTCTGATTTCTCTTCACAGATGCTGCCAGACCTGCTGAACTTTTCCAGCAACTTCTGTTTTTGTTTCTGATTTATAGCATCCACAGTTCTTTTAGTTTTTACTTTAAAAAATGGTTTGTTGGGAGTAACATTCATGATTAAAACAATCAACTTTGAACAGTGGACTTTGAGTCCAAGTTCAATCGTTCTAAATTCCCATCTCTTACTGTTTTTGTCTGGTTTCTGCACAAGATAGGTATGCTGACATTCAGATCTGGAATCTTCCATATATACAGAGGGCAATGCTACTCAAAGTCATCTAATATAGTGAGCATATCAACACAAGTGTTTCATTGAATCAGCAGTACTGAGAATGAATCTTTGAGGAGTATCTTTGCCAACATCAGCTAATACTGACAGTACAGCAGAATTGTTTTACTTTGCAGCCCAAATGCTGAGGATACTTTGAAAAATGATAGCTTCAGCCACAGTAGGATTTGGATTATTCCTTTTTTCCTGGCTACACCTGGACAGAACTGATTTTGCCTCTGACAAACCATTGCAATATTTCTACTAACCTGCATTAAAGGATTTTGATTATGGAACAATTACGGAATTCTTCTGGTTTCTACTTTAATGGAGGAAAAGATGATGCAGTACAGATAGGAGGAAAGAAAAGTAAGGCTTCTGTGGAAGGATGAACCTTAAAAGATACTGCTTCAACATGAGTTTCTCTGGTATATGTTACATGGGCTAACATATAGAAAACCACATCACATCATGATTGCAGTAAGTGGATACTAGAGGCTTGTGGCAGAAAGGTCTGAAAAGTTCTTTCTTTTAAAACTATCGCCCAGCATCTCTCTGAGTTCAGAGCTGAAGATCACATTCAGCAACCAAGCCTGAAAGCTACCACCTGTATTGAAACGCACCACAAAGCAGTCATAGTTCTGAATGTATTTTCTCTTTTAGGAAGAAATGGGAGGCCATGGTGTGTCCAGTCAGAAAGGAAGGACAGTTTGTAAGAGGTCCAGGACAGTTCTAATTTGGCTAAGCAGTCCTCGAAGGAAATAAATCCAAAACACATGTATCATTAAGACCTGATTTGTGCATAGTTGTCTGTCATTTCTGCCATTTAATTTCTTCAGAATCAACATGAAAATTGAAAATAAGGCGCACATGACACATGTCTGATACTTTTTTGGTGTGATCCCCACATGCAGGTGCTGCTCAGCTATTTCTTTTATTAAAGAAAAGCAGCAACAAGGATGGAAATAAAAGACAAGTGAACAACAAAAATAAGAAAAGCATTACACTGCAATTCAGATCCTTTATATACTGGCAATTTTTAAACAGCACAAAGCTGTACAGAATGGTTGGAATGCAAAAACTTGAAGCATAGTCTGACACAATTTCAGTGATTCAAAGAAAGAATCTTCATTGCATGGTGAACAGATGCTGGTAAAGAAATGCAGGCAATCAACCTTATTGTTTTGGAACACTAAGAATTGAGTAGAATAAAATGCTCCAGTATTTCGGACTGATGACCACAAAATCCTGAAATTTTCCAATTTTTAGACAGCTTACGATCCAAGTCAACGTCAGATTACACAGACTTGAATTCATGTATTTCAGCTAACACTCAGGTGAAACAATCAAGCAATTTATTGGCAGATGTTGGTGCATATGTATGGAATGTGTTTTAACTGAAGCTAACTTAGTTGAAAGGCTCGTGGAACTGGTCATTACCTCTACACTCATTCAATCTTTCTGAAAGGCACTTCTGGACAAAATTAAGGACTATATAGTTGATGCATCAATAGAAATGGCATTCATTCAAAGCAATTATAGCAGGACAGCAGCACCTAAAGACACTTGACTGCAACAACCATCAACAGGATGCATAAAAAAATCCAAATCTTATGGGATGTGGGTTATGTCACCCACCAAAATAGTGTCCAACATTTTCTGACACGTGTAAACTACTTTCTACAAGAGGACTTTGGGCTAAAATGTGCAAGTGGTCCAACTGCTCAGAGAAACCCAAAGCTTAATGCAGTGCTACAAAGCAGAATGTAAAGAAGAACCAACCAAGGAGCAATGTCACATATTTTACCAAACTTCCATCATCCATGGCACACAAGCATGTCAATGAAATCTAAGAAATCACTGAAATATCATAGCTTATAGGCCACAGTACATGTAATCAAGTAGATGCAATTTGAAATAAATCATGCCACACAAGTGACAGGCAATGACTATATCCAATAGGAGAGAATCTAACTATCACCCAATGACATTCAATAATATTACCATCACTGAGACCTCCACTATCAACATCCGACATTCCCATTGACCAGAAACTGAATTGGACCAATCATCAATACTGTAGTGACAAGAGCAGGTTAGAGGCTAGAAATCCTGTAGTGAGTAACTCAGCATGTGCTTACCCAAATTCAGTCCATCAGCTACAAGACACAAGTCAGGAGTGTGATGGTAAACTCTCCAGTTGCCTGAATGAGTGCAGCCCCCATAACACACAAAGTTTGACACCATCCAGGACAAAAGCAGCCCACTTCATGCCATATTCATAAATATTCAGTCCCTGCATCATTGATGCACAGTAGCAGCCATGTTGTACCATCTACAAAACGCACTGCAGAAATTCATCAAGGTTCCTTAGACAGCACTTTCCAAATCCATGGTCTCTACCATCTTGAAGGATAAGTGCAGCACGTACATGGAAACAGCATCCCTTGCAAGTTCCCATCCAAAACACTCACCATCCTGACTTGGATATATATTGTGACCCCATTCCCCGACAACAGCATTGTGGATCTACCTACACCAAATGTTCCAGGATGCAGCACATTCTCAGTGTAATTGGAATTGAACAATAAATGCTGATTAGCCAGTGAAGCTCACATTTCTGAATGAAAAAAATCCCAGCATTAACACTCCTTGTAAGTGCAGCATTCACATTCAGGATAAATTCAAACTGGAATTAGATTTCATGGTATAAATCATTTGCAATGTTGAGCATCACATTGATTGGTGGATCTTCATTACTTGTATTTTAAAGAAAAATGGCACTCTATGTATGTCATATCCAAGGCCTCTGAACAAAAAAAACCCACACAAGATTCCTTGGAAGAGCCTAATCCCAAATTCTCAGGTGGCAAACATTTTCCAAGCTTGATGCCAAGAATGCACATTGGTCCATATATCTTTCTCCAAAGTCATGAAAACTAACAACTTTTAGAAGTCCTGTTCTGTACCTGTAGGTATTGTTCTCTCAGATTACTGTTTGCATAGTCCCTTAGCTAGGATGCATTCCAACAACATATGGACTGTATCATAGATTTGTCATCAGGTTGTCTCTGTATCATAGATGATGCTGCAGTTCTCAGGAAAACTAAACAAGAACTTGATATAAACCTGCATTGACTCACGACAGTACAAGAAAACATGACTTTGTTTGTATTGAACAGCAAAAAAAAATCCAATCAACATGAGCCTGATCAATATCTTTGGATCAATCTACTCTGCAAATAGTATTCAGTCTGATGCTACCAGAATAGGTGATGTACTGAAAATGTGTGCAGCACATGACAAAGATGACTTTAAAAAGCGCCTTGATCTCTTCAACATTTTATACCTTGTGAATTCCAAATTGTGTGACCAGAGTATCTCCTCTTTCAGATTTGCTGCATAACGATAAGCCACATGTGTCAGGATGATTACCAACATATTTTTCAATTTCTCAAAAATGCTTTATCATTTGGTAAATGTGTTCTTCCATATTATGATCTGTCCAACTTTAACTTGTTGGAAATAAATGCATCCCAGAAAGGCCTTGGAACATATTTACTAGGATGATAAACCTATTGCATTTAATTCTAAAGTCCTTGTGTCAGCTCAGGTAAACTACTCCAACTTAGAAGGGGTAACTGTCACTTTAGTTTTCATAATGGAAAAGTTCCACACATCTATTTGAAAAGCATTTATTTCATTGTTCATGCTAACCATAGTCTATTAGAATCTTCTTTCTCATCTTTATTCTTTCATTGGGTGCGAACATGACTGGGTTTCACCTTTTTGGGTACTGGCACTAGTAGTAGAATAGAAGGGAGCTGTTCTAGTGGATGGGCATCACTAGAGCTGTGCTGGGCTCAGTGTCCTGGCAAATCAAATAACTATGCCCATAAAGAGGGGACATTAAACTAATTAGAGTGGCGGGGGAGAGCTTGGGATAGAGTAAATGTAGGCTTACAAAACAAGAGGATATTGCAGCATTACACAGCAGCTATTTGGATCATGTCCTATTTACAACTGTTAGAAATACAGCAAACATACATTGTATAGCAATTGAGATTCTTTACTGTTCCAATTGCGGGTGGATGAGCTCTTGAGTATCTCAACAAGCTTCTTGATCAAATGAAGTAACTGGACCTAAAGGTTTATTTTACTTGTAGAAAAAGGCTTACTTATGATTGACTATGAAGTTAAATTTTGTTTAGTTCTTATTAATATATGAAGCTTATGATGGAGTAGTTTCAATCTGAAATAAAAGATTTTAATCATTATGCATGAGACTTCAACGTGGGGGACAAAATGGTGCATTGGATTAGCACATGCCCTTTCACTTTCTGGATGCAGTTCACCGTCCATTTAAAGTCATTTTTCATGCAACAAATTTGGGGCATTATCAGCTGTATTCCTCATGGAAGGGGCACACACACAGCAACAACAAATACCAAATATGCTTTTGTCACAACTTGCTCAGAGGACATGAGGTATGCTGATGTTGAAAATACGGATATTCTCCTACAGGACAAGTACTATTCTAATAAGAACTTATATTGTTAGGCTAGAAAATGATGTGTCCTGTCGTCAGCATTTGCATGTGGCCTCTGAACTATGGTTGCATTTCCTTTCATTTGCATTGAGAAATCTGTTTAGGTTGGAAATGTATCAGACATAAGCAGGTGTCCACTAGTGCCAGTGACTGTTTACATAAGTCTCACTTGACTATGTAAATATAGGTACAGAGGAACAACTGCTGTGGATAGTGTTACAAACATACTTAGTGTACACCATGTTCTCAAACTATCATGGTATCACTTTCACACACCTTTGTTATTTATCTTCTAATAGTCAAAGCCATCGTTAACACTGGTAATTGGTGCTGCTGTTATTCTGATCTTTACAGTAACAATAATAGTCAACCTACACACCAAGTAAAAAGAGGTGAACTAGTACAACCAGGTTGAACTGATCTATTCTCAATTCAGTGAATATTGTGCAATATTGGACTATGACCCAACTGCACCATTTAATTGTTGCATCATTTCTGATGTATTATATATTCCTCTTGATGGAGATCTTATTGTTGAGCATTTGTTCTGTTCTGTTGCTAATTTTGCAGTAAAATCCCTGATACACAGATAATTGCATCAAACAGATCTATATTGAGTATTTTTTTTTGTCTTGAATACTTTAATGGTATTTCAACAGCTGAAATTACAGTGATAATCCATTGACCTAAGAGTCTTATTTATTCTGAAAACGTTTTGGTTTGTGACTTATAGAGTCATAGAATTATACAGCACAGAAACAGACCCTTTGGTCCAACTCAACCGCATCGACCAGACATCCCAATCTGACCTCGTCCCATTTGCCAGCATTTGGCCCATATCCCTCTAAACCTTTCCTATTCATGTACCCATCCAGATGCCTTTTAAATGCAGTAACTGTACCCACCTCCACCACCTCCTCTGGCAGCACGTTCCATACATGCACCACCTTCTGCATGAAAAAGTTGTCCCTCAGGTCCTTTTTAAATTTTTCTCCTCTCACCTTAAACCTTTGCCCTCTAGTTTTAGACTCTCCTACCCTGGGAAAATGACCTCGGTTATTCACTCTATCCACACCCCTCATGATTTTATAAACCTCTATAAGGTCCTCAGCCTCCGATGCACCAGAGAAAAAAGCCCAGCCTATTCAGCGTTGGATGCAGGTTTTCCCTATGTTGTTATTCCTTTTCTGTATAAGGGGTAGTCAGATGTCTTATATATGAATTGGATTACAGTTACCCACTGGCA